TATGGGGTGCAAGGTCAATAAAACACTATTAACGCAATGGGCGTATTGATTCTTTATAAATAATAAGTCATTTAATGTTTTTGATAGTCAGATGTGGTTTGTTTTGTTTGTTCTTTTCGTATTTTTTCAAAATCAAGAAGAAAAGAATACTAGTTATCACAGATTCAAACTTCATGACATAAGCATGGCTTGCAAATTCTGTGTGAACTCTCTCGATATCTCGTTCCTTTTTCTAGTTATAGTTTACAATTTGCATTTCCTCGAACTAAAACAATTACGAAAAACTGTTTGGAATAAATTAATTTTTTTTTTTGAAAACAACCGTTTTATTATAAAATATATATCATCGTCGCCTGTTAATAATAAGATACTGTAATGATTGTAATAATCCATTAAGTGCCTCTATATTTGCGCATGCCCAGAACAGATAATTCCCTAATGTGACCAGGTCATGAAATAACGTAGTAAACAAAAGGGCGTGTTAATAAATAAAGAACTAAATCAACAATGTTTACCGGACAGCTTTGTTGATGTAATTTACTTGGAAATGGACAGTGTCTTTACGATTCCAACCACATGACCTTGGAATCGAAAAAATAAACAAAACACTTTGCATGACAGGAATAAATTTTGTCATGTAAATTGTATAGAGATCCCTGTACAGACATTTACCTAATGTTTATTGTAAATTAATACAATCAGCTCACTTAATTTTATCAAGAATATACATCATGCGGCAACAAACACTAGTGCTGCGACATATAATGGCAAGAGAAAATAGTGCGACATTAATTTAATGTTACCATTGCGACATTGAGCGGCAGATATTTTGCGATATTTACCGGCGATTGCGACATTTAGCGGCACAGGTGTGACATTTAGTGGCAATTGTGACATTCTGTGGCGTTGCGACATATAACGGCGCCACACACACTCGCAAACGACAACAGTAATAACCAAAGAGCATGATGACGTCAGGGCAAATGCAGTTCCGCAGACGACAAATAGTTTCATATTCTTCATATACACATAAGCATAATTCAAGAAAGCTTGGTTAAAATAACCTATTTTCCCTTGAACTAGATACTGGATGAAGTGTACGTATAATAATCTGTATGAGTACAGTCACGTATTTATTAAGAATAACAATTTCACGGTGACATGTGGGGAAAGTAGAGCTAATTGTTTCCTTTTTCAGTCGTATTTTTGAAGAAGCACGAGGCCTCAGGAGGATAAGTACACAATTTACAGAAAACACACATTGTCAGTAAGCATTTTTTATAACACTATTAAAAATTAAAATGTTTGCTTAAAGGCACATTCTGACTCAGAAATGCTATCATTTTAATTTCTTAAAAACTTTTTACATTTGGTATCTTGTTACAGTTTAAAAACAATACTAATTTGCCGCATACAAATGAAGATGAACTATCTTTTTTTTTCTTTGCTTTGTTTGCAATTAGAATAATTATAGTAAATGGAGGTAAACACTATTTTGTTTACATTTTGCTACCTTTATGACACATTATTTCACGTTCAGTGTTACTTTCTTAATATGTAAAATCTATATCCATTACAAAAACATTACTTAACACACGTTTGACACTTCTTGACAATTAATTTTTGTTTTGTTTTTGTTTACAGACCCAACGAATAAACCCGTAAAATACTAATTTACTATTTGACAAAAATTAAAAACTTTTTATTATTCATAAACCAAAGAATAAATTGGCATTTCAAATTGCCCGCTTTGTTATGAATAAAGTAAGTGAAGTACAAATAACACGTGCAACGTTTTTATTACGACGGCTGTCCGGAAAGTTCGTAGACAAGGCTATACAATTATTATAAGCAGTCATATCAATATGATTGAATATTCTGCTAAAGTATTTATCTGCTACATTTTTCTTAGTTAAAAAACATGATAAAAGAAATATTCGCAAAGCGCTGATCGCCATGGCAACATGATCAACGAATCATTCATGACGATAGCTACTCGAATAATAAAATGCTAAAAGTTGTAATTTTAACTCAAACTCTCGTTATAATTTTGTGACTTCATGAGATAGTATTACATGATGTTTAGTGAAAATTATGACGTCATACGCAAATAAACAGCTTGTTAACGACGATTATAGGCAATGATGGTGCATAAATTTTGTGTTGCAAAAATGACGTCAAATTCACGGACGGAGCAACGTAATGATATTTAACTTCATAGCAACGCTAATATGGTACCAACTTAGATTTTAATTTATACTTTAAAAACAAAACCAACCATAAAATGTTAAAGGCAACTTGTGTTTAAATGTCAAACAAAATTAATAAGCGGCGATGACAGTATATCGTATCAGAAGCACTCCAGACGACCAAAGGTAGCATGGCCGAAATATCGTATATTGCGTTACAACAACCTTTGAAAAAGACAGACATCTCAGGCACTGTATAGGAACTTGTGACATTTTTGTTTTTAAATAAAAATTTGAAATATGAAATTCATAAAATAAAACCAACATAACATGTATTAAGTATACGCCTGACAGGTACCATGGCTATTGAAATCGGAAGAAATTGAATAGCAGGTAAACATGAAGTTATTAATTTGACGCCGTTGACGTTGTCAAAGTGCTCCATGATGATGTATGTAATTACTGTTAAAATACAAATGTAAGTCACAGTTCAGTAATTTTTTGATAAAATTTAATGTCTTCGCTAGATATGCATAATTTTGCTGACAAAATTTGTACAACGTATGTATTGTTATACAATAAAATATATAAAGAAGTATATGAACTTTCCGGACATCCCTCGTAAGATTTAAAGTAGTAAATCAGATCTTTGCAACTGAAGAAATGATTGAAAAAGAAAAATATACTTATTTGTTTGCTAATTATTATATTTTAAGAAACTTAAAATTGTACCTGTGTATTATTTTTTCAGAATTGATTATAATTTAGCGAAAAGCTGTTCTAAAATAGCCAGTTATAGTCCAGTTATCAGACTCATTTTTTGTTCAGTCATGATTATTATTTGGAAAGAGTATATTTTCCGAAAGGATGTCATACAAATAGTTTCGTAACTCATTTTTTCCCTCTGTTTTTTTCACATCAAATGTTACGTTGTACAGATGATTATTGGTAATAGGCGGGGGTGTTCCGAATACGGTACAAACAACGAGCAGAATGATGTACCGTTATTGACTAATGAATTTAGAATGCTCTTCGACTGGCAGGCAATTCAGACGGGCAGTAAAACATTTATAACAGATCTTTAAAAGGAACCAACAGAAAACAGTTGCATAAAAAACTTCGCTGTTGACATAATTATTACAAATTTTCATTGTAAACATTTATAGCAGATTTTCATACATTTTACACTCTGTCGCCTTTATATGTCGCAACGTCGCTAAAAGTCGCACTTGCCGCTAAATGTCGCTCTATTGCAGCTTAATGTCACAACCGCTGCTGATTGTCTCAAAATCGTTTGCCGTTAAATGTCGCAGTAGTAATGTCAAATGTCGCACCAAAATATTTCCCCGTAGCGTTAAATGTCACAACACTACCGTAAAATGTCGCATTATCTAATTTCATGTTAAACAACTGGACAAGTATCATGACAATATCAACATTGTGTAGGTGATCTGGGGACTAGCTATTTATCAGATAGCAGAGGGTTTGTTGTGATGTACAAAGACATTGGTTGAAATTGGATTCATCTGTGTCGGTATTATAAATTGACGACCACAGGTTATGCGAAAGATCCCCTTTCATTGATGCAATCATCACTTATCACGTTTGCAAAACCGGTGTGTCTTTTCTTGAGAATGTTATAAGCGTGTCCTTAGTGTAAAGCTGCAGTTGTAGCAGATATGTTTTTCTAGACTGCCTATGATGACGTAAAATGCTCTGATTCATGCTAAAATTCTGACAATTTGGTAAGTACAGCATGAATTGTTAGAACACATCATACAATTTTAAACACAGAATAAAGGAAGTATCCTGGTAGACATTAGGAGACCTGGTGTTACACTCATCTTTCTTGTTATATATCCATTATATTTATTCCGGAAACTCTTTCTGTTTCGAGTTGATAACATGCAAATTCGGATTACCACCTATTTTCTGGTTGGTAGTTGGGGATTCGTGCCAATAAGCATTTGAGTCCCCTTGTAGACAAAAGGAGACAGTGTGTTTCTTTGTTGGATTACACATCTTTTTATATTTCTGTTACCTTTATTTCGGAAAAGTACTTTTTGATTTCCTTTACTGTGTTCAGTATTTAATTAGACAGTTCTTGTATAAAGCACTATAAGAAAAGCAAAGCATGCTGTCCATAGACATGAATACATTAAAACGGGAATGTTGTTTAGTAAAAATAGGAGTTCTAATGATCTTGCATCAAGCCTTTAATGTGGTGCCAGTATTATTTAAGGAAAGTGTAGCCAAGTGTTTGAAACTATCTGATTTTCATGCAGGTTCACTTTAAGAAATATTTAGGTATTTAAATTATTCCATAAAAATGAAATATTAAAATAAAGTTAAGGCAAAAAATACACCCTATACAGTCATTTGTATTGGTTTTCTGTCCAATGCAGGCAAGTTACCAGGTATCCGCACTGTAAAATAAAATATTGAAAATACTTAATATAAATTCTTAGTTTGTTCATATATAGATTCTTAGTTTGTTCATATATAGATTCTATTTGTTCATATTACTTTTCAGGAAAACTTCCCATCATGTCCAACAGAAGAAATGGTTGAGGCAGAGGTTATCATTAGAGAGAACCAACGAAATGAAACAAGTGAACGAGTGATTGATAACATAAAAGAATCCAAAGAAAACACAGTTAAGGCAGGTAGAAAGAGTAAGGGAGACCTACAGTCACCTTATGTGGGACCATACATTGTAAGTGAAACAGAGTAAAATTAGAAAAAGATGGACATATACTTAAAAATCTTGTGTCAATAAATAATGTGAAAAAAATAGTGGAAATTGAAAAGAAAACAGAAAAACTAACAAACAATGAAGGAGAAGGAATTAGTACACGAGAAGAAACCACAACTCAAATCCAAATCAGAGAATTCATTCATACAATGGCCAAAACTAACAGCTTGGAGGAAATTGTCCGAATATGTGAAGAAAAAAACAAGAGCGCTAAAGTGCCACTGAACATGGCCTCCTTTTCTAAAACTATGCTTGATTGCCCAGTGGTATTATTCATCAATGAGGTAGGAAAACAAAACAGTTTTGTACTAGTAATCTCTGTTAAAAACATGCAACTTAACAGAAATGTAGGTTATTGAATATCTATTAAAAGTAGGATATGAAATAGGAAGCAAATACGACAAAATGCAAACTTGTTTCAACATTTACAATGACATAATGTCACAAAAAGAAGGAATTTTTCAAACAGTGTCTGTTTTACTTAAAGATCATGTAACACAATTTTTTCATGGGTTTTATTTCATAAAAATGATGCTCAAATTAAGATTTGTCAATATTGTAAGTTCCAATAAGCACTATTTATAAAGATATTACCCAATTTGGCATTTCATATAAATAAAAGGAGGTAATTAGAAATTTCTTTTCTATAAATTCTAAGTCAAATTTTCCAATAAGAAATGAATGCATGTAATTTATTGATTAAATATAATGTGCACAAATATTTGCTGTACACATTCTACATATTCTTCGATGTTTGAAAATTGTTTTATTTGCATAATTATATACACATATATAGTTTTTTACAAGTGTGGTATACACACAGTAACAATTTCAATCAAAAAACATACAGGATCTTTTAACATTGTTCTTGATTGGTCAGCAAGTACTCCCTATTATACATATTGTAAACCAGTACTTATTGTTTTTAAATAGATGGTTCATTCAATGCAAGCTTCATGACATACTAATGATTAATCATTTAGACTAAATTTGATATTTCTAAATTGTATGATAGGGTATATATGTTAAAGCAGGCTACCTTACAAGAAATATACTCTTTTTAATATATTCTTCGAGTTGTCCAGATAGATGTGGAGATTTGTTGAAATTTAAAAAAAAAATCAAGCACTGATTCAAATTAAAGCAGTCTTTCATTTTCCCTGTTAATGTTATACATGTTCTTTAATTTTCAGGTATTAAAGTCCAGTGAAGCCTTGATGGATATCATAAGGGATGAAGATTTAAAAGTAAACAAAGTAGAACTGGTTGATGACTTCACTGGCACCATGATTCTAACATGCAGTGTACTAGCGAAAGCATTTACTGAAAAGGTTCCAGTACTTCAGGTCTTAGACACTCTTAGTTCTAGACCCAGCTTTCTTTCTCCATATGTTGAACCAGAAGGTTTAAAACCAGAGGAAAGATTAACAGTTGCTGGTGAAGAAATCAACCAGAACGATTTGGACTCCCTTAAATGCACTAGCTGGCTAAACGACAAGGTAAAATCACTTTGTTGCAGATTTAAATACTATACAGGTTTTAGTAACTGTAGGTTGGGGGAGGCATATTGCCAAACTAAATGTTTTCTTGGCATAATGTCAAACAAAGTGTATACTATGTGCCTAGATCATTAATTCTGTTTTCATAATTGGTACAAAAAATATTATACAAAATACAGAGTTGATGTGTTGTTTGTAAGATCCAGGTCCCTGGGTCAAAGATTAAGGTCACAAAAGGGATTTGAACTTAATGTAATCATCATGCAAATCTGTAGAATTTGATGCCTGCTTATTGACTTATGCATGCAATAAGTAAACCTTATTTTACCTCCATTATACACAGAGCTTAAGTAACATTTTTGTTGTTCTTCTTTGAAAATTTTCAGACAATATTTGTCCAGAGCACAGCTTTAAAACATAATGAGCGATATATTAACTAGATTCTTTATTTCTGATAAATATGGAAGTTTTTGTAATACCTCAATTAATTTTCAAAGTCCATTGAAATATGGCTTTGGAACTTTGCACACTTGTTCAACATCATGACCCCAACATGTAGACAGGAGTAGGTAACTCTTTCAAGCTTTTTGACATAATTATGCCCCTTTTTTACTTAGAATTTACATTTAAAGTTTTTTGTAACACCTCAAATATTTTCAAAGTCCATTGACATATGGCTTTGAAACTTTGCACACTTGTTCACCATCATGATCCCAACCTGTAGAAAGGAGGGGGTAACTGTATGAAGCATTTGGCAGAATAATACCCCTTTTTCAACTTAGAATTTACATTTAAGTTTGCATACAATCTCAGATATTTACATGTTATTATTCTATTGACATCTGGCTTTGAAACAAGTTGAAATTGTAAACTCTTCTTTGAGAGCACAATAGGACTCTATCCAAGGCCTATAACTGTAACATGGATGTAACGAAAAAAAAATGACCTTTTTTGAACTCAATGTTATGTAAAAATTTTACATTATCAAGGCTCTTTTACTATCAAACACTAAGAATAGTCGAAAGTTGCTGTCCTACCGACAGCTCTTGTTTATGATAAACTGTTACAAAAAATATATATAAGAGGATATTGAACGAGCATAGGTTTAAGGTGGTCATGCCTTAATTTACCAGAGTTTTTTCTAGATATTGTACAGTAGACCTCATAGGAACTTGATGATATCTGTTATTCAGCATCAGGGCTAAATTTTCAACAATACTACATTCAGAAAGCTCATGTTATTTTCATTTTGCTACATAACTAATAATTCTAATAATTGAAGATAACAATACAAAGATGATGAAGAGTCCAGTTTATATTGCAAATTAGATAAAACTACAATTTTTATATGTTTCTATATTTTAGTTAAATGTATGGCATGTAATAATCTATTAAATTTACTTAACAGAATAACATTTAATATTACAAAGGACTTATTTATAAATTATATCTCTCTTGAATGTTAGAAAAAAATTGAATTTTCAGTTTCAGCACTCATATTTTTATGGAAATGTATGTAGTCATTATTTTGGCCACAAATGTGAAATAGCAATTAACAAAGGTTAAAGGGACACCACTGAGGTTTAAGAGCCTAAAAACATAACATTTGAATTTCTTACATAAATGAGCTGGGGCACTTTAAACAGAAATATATGCAAAGATAGTTAAGAAATATACTTTGAAATAAATTGAAAATTATATTTTTATGCTTTTCTTAACCCGATTTGAGTGAAAAGCGTTTAAACGCTTTTCATTTTGGGTCATTTTTTTTTACAATTTGAATAACTATTCTGGAAAAAACGAAGTGTGCAAATGATCTGAAATTTTGGACAAAGATTAGTGGTCTAAATCTACATCAAATGGTACATTTATCTGGGAAAAATAATTTCAGTCCCATCAGGTCATAAAACCTCAGTGGAGTCCCTTTAATACTGAATAGTTTCAGTGCCTTAAACTTTGTATAAAAATGGTTTGTGTTAACATTGAATAGTTTTAAGGACTTTGAACTTAAAATGTAAAAGGTAGTTTGTGCATAAAAGTTTCTGAAATTTTAGCTGCATGTGATGGCATCCATGGCGTGACAACACATTTCTAGTTAAAATATTTTCTTATACACCCTTTGTATTTTTAATTTCTCATATTAAGAAGGCATATAATACATGTGATCCTTTAAGTTTGGAGAAGTTTGGGGCTACTGGGTTCAAGGTCAAGGTCTTGCATTGATATATATTTGATGAATTTTTATTTCCAAGTGGAATATTTTTCAACTTGATCAAGTAATAGCAATGACATGCCAACTTATAATTTTCATATTAACAAAGTTTTATGACTCTGACAAGTTATATAACTGTGTAAAAACAGATTGATAAAAATTGTTATATCTATTCTGATTGTAATGTTTTTTTCACTTTTTTCAGCCACTTTATGAAAATACGGTCATGAAAAGTGAGTGATGGTTTTGAACATTGGACAACATACAATCCAATATTAAACAAACAGACAGATACTTCTAGTTGTGGGATATTTGTTTTGATGGTAAATTAACTCTTTGATTATTTAGGCATTTAAAATATAATTAACTCATTCTTATATCCATGATTGTGTCTCTGGTAATGTAGGTATATATGCACACACATCATTACAAATTGCGCAAATGCTTTCACTGTTGAACAAGATAAAATTAGAAAACAAGAGCAATCAGTGATCATAGACGGGTTTGATTTTCAGAAAAGACCCTCCGTTAAGAGTCTAACGGCATTTTTCAGTACAAGCAGGTAGTCAATCGTTTTTACATAATTCGGGTACGCTGAATCCATTTTTTGCTCTACCACGGCTGTACTTGAAGTCCTTGACCTTCAAAAGGTCAAATCAAAATGACCGCCATTGTCCTTTACCATATAATTAAAAAAAAATATTTTTTCTGGTACATATCGTATCGTATTTCCGTTAATGTACATGGAATAAAGTTTCAATTACGTTAAGGAATAATTGGCTGTTAATTATACATGCTTTACACATTGACTGCTATGCCGGCCATCTTTGATTTCAAAATGGATACCTTTTTAATAAATATAAGTAAAGTGCTTTTAAACAAATGGATCCTTCTGTAGGAATGAGTATCAAAAATTGAATAATGATATGAGCAATATGTCATGTCGAATTGTACACACTGTGTAGGTATACTGCACACTTTAATTTACATCATTACTTCAAACTATCACAGGTGATTCGTTTTGGACAATTAATCTATATCAGGTATCTGAGATCCAAAATGTCTTAAATAAAACCTAATTCTACAAGTCATCTTTATTTTGATAGAATAGCATTTGTGTAAAACTTTATGGACACTAGATCATTTTATATCCGTCCCCTAATGATAGCCAAGTGCATATTGCAGCTATTGTGTAGCAGGAGACAGAAAAATCATTGACAGGACAAAAATCATTCATTAGTCAGGGTCCATAACTCAGCCAAAAAACATTCAAGCTGAAAACATTCAACCCTATGAAAATCGTTTCTCTTAGTCTTTTGAATTACATTGGTTTAACATGTTCAGAAAGGTCACTGGTGTAATATGCCTCTTCTTGCCATCCTCATTGCTTTGCCTTTGATATGATAGCACACTTTAACCAAACAAATACATCCCTTAAAAATGATGAAAGTTACAAAACAAGATTCATAAGAGCTCTTATATTCATTGGTTTTAACAACCTATTCTTAATACATTTACAGACACCGGAGAGCTTATCTAAAGGTAAGGCATCCTGGATCTTACGCCAAGTGCATGTCCCGAATTTCCGTAACTATGTGATGAAGAGATTGATGTCTATTGGTGTTAGGAATACATACCTGTGTGATTCCTTATACTGCAAGGATCCAAAAGGGAGAAAAATACAGTGGATAAATTGTGACGTCTGTTCACGCTTGGTGGCATAAAATGTGTTGTGCAAAGTCAAATTTTCAGGAGGAATTTTTCCAATGTGAAATTTGTGATGCACAATTTCAGTAATGATACAAGGAAATGAATAGATTTACCACCTGCGTAATGATTGTTGTTCGGGAGGTATTCTGGTTAGGGGTTGTCCATTAGTTCACGTGGTAGTCTGTGTGCCAATCTTCTTTGAAACCACTCATCCAATTTTAAAATCTTAACAGGAATAATATTAGCACTTTTCAGCTCAACTTTAAAAAAATAGAGGTATTGTTACAGTCATATGTTGGTGTTTAAATGACCTTGACCATGAAGGAGGTCAAATGATGGAATTTAGGTTAAATTGTCATAATTTTGTCATTTATGTACTGATTTGATTCAAACTTGGACAAAAGAAGACTTGATACCAAACAAACATATTGAATAATTTAGATGTGACTTTGACCTTAAATTGACCTTGGCTGTTAATGTCAAATTAACAAAAATCTGTTTTTTTTTTCTGTAACTGGCTATAACGTTGTTATTTATAAATGGATTAACCTCATATTAAGACACATCATCTTTTACATCATGACCTTCATGTATAAAACTTAAATTAACCTTAATCTTGACCAATAAAATTGACTGTCATTTTGCTATAAATAAATGGATTATTTTATTCTTGGACAAACAACCTATAGGACGAGACATTCTGAAATGTTGAGCTGACCTTGACCTTGAGTTTTTAAAGACCTTGACCTTCAAGGGTAAAGTATTGAATTTTTAAGGTGTCATAATTTTGTTAATTTTGTACGGATTTGATTCATATATGGACAAAACAACACTTGTGACCAAACAGACATGTGGAATAATTTAGATATTACCTTGACCTTTAAATGGCCTCAACTGTCAAATGGTTGAATTTTGACTATATTTTCTTAACTTTTGTCATTTATTTATAAAAAGGTTTAAACTTGGACAAAACAACAAGTGTGACTTGACATACCTATTAAAATAAAAAAGACAGAAAACTTTTTTTTTTTAAAAGATTTTAAAGATTTGTTAAAACCATTTATTTGTTCGCTTTTTAGAAAAAGTCTGTGGCTCTTGTTAATTGCATATATTGACCTTAAGTTTAAGATGACATTCACAGTTTAGGAAAAATCATTTGATATAATGGCCATAATGTTGATATGTAAAGATTGATTTGAATTATTCTGGAAGAAATCACAACGAGGATAACACTTTGTAAAACAATGACTAAAGTAGAGCTATTTAAGAATGACCTTGACCTGTGAATGACCATGACCTTTAAAGTGAAGTAAATTTATTTCCATAGAATTGGACAAATTATTTTATGTAAATATTTGGCAAACAGCACTTAGAACAAAATAAACATGATATAACATTAACATTTAATTGTCAAGGTCAATGTGAAACATAAGAAATATACGAATCTGTTTGTTAATTAATGCACAGATTTGATGAATATTTGGATGCAATTATACGTTAGACAGCATTATTATATTGCCAAACTTTCAAATTGTTATTTCAAATGTGAACTCTAATTTGAAAGTCCTTTTTCAATATTTTTACATTTGATTAAGGAAAAGTCGTGCATGCCTTCCTCTTTTGGTGATTCTTGTTATAGGAATAAAAGCTGTTTGCAGGGGCATTAATCACATTCAGTTATAGTTCTAGCTGAAAGAGAATTTGCTGGATCACTTTAGCGTAAAACTGTGATATCTTTTAATTATTTTAGATTTTTATCATACTGCCTTGTACATTGCTTACCATAATTTCCTTTAACAGAATGTTTCACTGAAACTAGTTTCAAAATTACTGGACCAAATAAAAGATTTTTTAGTTTCGCCCAATAAGACTAAATTTGAAAACATCTGACCTTCTGTTTCCAAAGAAAAGTATGTAGAATCTTATAAGATATGTATTTATTTAATCAAATAGGTTTATTTTTATAAAGTAGGCAAAATATACAATAAGTTAGATTATCACTATCCTCCAGTTTTCATATAACAATATTACATCCTTCAATCTGATTAGACAAGGTCTTTGACACGCATCAACAAATTATTTTGTAAATTCCCACAAGCTGTTTGATTGGCTAATTCTAATTTGGTATCAAGGGTCTTCGCAACAATGTTTGTATTAAATAGATTTATTATACTTAGTAATATATAATAGGTTAACTGTATTGTATAGTCAAGAAGAGGCAATAGTTTTGACAATTGTCGCATGTAGTCATAACATTTAACTTAAAGATACATGAGCATACATTACTGTTTAACATCTTTTTAATTTTTTTATCTAGTATCTGAAATAACGCGGTTAGAATTCATGCCTCCTACATTTCGCTTAAATAAATTTTATTACTAAGGACTCAACTTCTTGTTTATAGGGAAACAATTTTTAAAAAAAAAAATTCTAAGATTTTTAAGTTTTTTGTAGAAACATATGTACATTTTTTATGAACGGCAGTCACCTCTTGCACAGTGTATATATTTGTTGTATACATTTGCATAAAGTTTCCTTTTCTTACCGGTAAGTCTAAATATTCAAAAATGCCCTGTTCATAGCCTCCTTATTTTGAATGTTACATGCTTGTATTCAACAACAATTGCCCCAAGGATCCATTGTCCGAACAATCAGAATGGATTGCAACTTAAAGGAGTGCGTGTGTGTGTGTGTGTGTGTGTGCGTGGTGTGCGTGTGTGTGTGTGTGTCTATGCAATAACCTAACATTCGGAAGCTAAAATATTGAAGATGGCTCATGGGAAGGCTTGTACTAGCGTGCATATGCCTGAACATAGCTTTTCGGAGATAAAAAAGTCAAAGATTGTTATGGGTAGGGCATAGGCAATGTGTGAGAGTGGTCTACTATAGGGCGGCCTCCTCGTGGCGTAGACAGGAAACGTCTTTTTTGGTTTGAAAGAGGCGGCTAACAGCCCTTAATCACCAGTATAAACAAAATATCATACCATAAAGCCTGAAAAATTCCCTTAATCCAAATGAAATTTCCGAAGTTAAGTCTTGCGGGGGTATTAATCACATTAAGTGATAGTTCTAGTTAGAAATTATTGGAAAGCTCAGCTTTATTTATGTTCAACTTGAAATGACTTAATATTAAATTTGTAGGATAAAAATATGAAAAATTTAGTTCATTATTATTTCTGAATATAAGAGAAATGCATTTTTAGCTTGACTATTCGAAGAATATGAGAGCTATTGTAGTCGCGTCCGCGTCAGCGTCTGTGTTGGTTAAGTTTTTTGTAAAGTCAATTATCTCAATTATTGCTTGAGATATTCAATTGAAACTTACAATACTTATTTATAGTAACAATGTACATCAGATTGACGAGTAGGATAACTACAATATTTACAGAATTATGCCCCTTTTTAACTTAGAAATTTTGTTTAAAGTTTTTTTTGTAAAGTCAAATATCTCAATTATTGCTTAAGATATTCAATTGAAATTTACAATACTTTTTTTATAGTAATAATGTACATCAATTTTCAAAATTGCATAACTCTGCCTGCAATATTTGCCCTTTGAAACTAAAAAATTTTGGTTAAAGGTCTTCAAAGATATTTACTTGAAATTTTAAACATGTACTTAGGGTCATAATTGGAGGGTCATAATTGTATGTCACTGACCAAGTACCATAATTCTATCTTGCATTTAGGCTGATTCATATCCCCTTTTCTACTTTAAGTCTCTTGGTTAATGTTTACATGCAAGTTTTACATATCTCAATAACTATTAAAGATATTTATTTAAAACGTCACATATGCATTTAGGGTCATAATTGTAGGTCACTGACCAAGATCCAAAATTCTATCTTGCATTTAGGCTGATTTTTCTTCCTTTCAACTTAGAAATTCATGGTAAAGTTTTGCTTGTAAGCTGTTATCTCCATAATTACTGAAGGGTTTGTGCCTTTTTTGGGACAATTTTATGCATTCATAATAATAAAGCAGTGATTTACTTGATAAAACATCTTAATAACAAGCCTTTGTACCTTTTCGGTCAATTTTATGTATTCATAGGTAATTAGCATTACTATACTCAATAAAAACCCCTTGTGACAACTTTTTGAATAGTCGAGCCAATACTGTCCTCCGACAGTTCTTGTTATATTACTTATAAGTACATCTATTTTACCCACAGTTTCGATACTATAATTGTATTGTCTTTAAAGGTTTTATCATGTATGGAACAGAATTAGTGCATATATCCCATCTTGCTTGATGATATTGGGACTTACATTGTGCTTGCTTCCATACTTCTTTATGACAATGGGAACCTACGTTTTGCCAAATACAATCTTGCATTATGATTACTTTATGCACTATTATGTAATTGCAACTTCATGTGTTCCTTTCTGAACCATCAATCTCACATATTTCAATATACTATATGTTTATTTTCATCTTTTATTTAGGACAGCGTATTATGTTCGGTGTTTAAAAGAACATTCTTTGCTTGTTCTTGATATAACTAGATGTAAAATGGCAAGTTCCTGTCGGTACCTTTAAAGTGACATTATGCTCATATTTTCATAGTCAAGTTGAGCTGAATTGACTTTATATTTCAAAAGATTGACTGTCAAAATGGTGTTTGACCAACAGTTGATATTGGAAAAAGTTTAGGATAAAATTATAAATCTGCCTAAAATTTAAAAAGACTGCCCCACTCTTATAAACTAAGCGTTAAAATACGTAAATTCTAACGGACATTAACATAAATTTCATTCGGATCTGTGTGTTATTTATTGTTTATGCAAACTAAATAATTTAATTAAAAGGGATTATGGCAAAATGAAAACATATTTTGATCTTCACCCGTTCACTCACTATATACCCTTGGATGGGCATAATGTCACTTTAATTTGTTATAAATCTGCCACTTACATTGTCAACACTATTTCACAATAATTGATTTTGATAAATACTTGGCGAATTCGATATGTCTTAGCATTCATATGTTTCAATATATTTACTGATTACA